GGGAGGATTCAAAGACAGGTAACGACTCTCACCGATACTGGGCTGCAACAACTCAGTTGTTATGGGACACTGTTGGCCTTCAAAGGACTGAAACACCACCGAGGGGGATAAATATCTCCGGCTCAAGACCAGTCAGAACTGATGAAGCCCCTTGGATGAGAGGTGAAACATCTTTAATCTAGAAATCTAAGTCCAGTTGATTTTTTTTCTAAGGTTTTTTCAGCTTTTGATTTTGTTCAGCCAGAATCAGAACTTTGATAGTTTTGTCAGCTGCACATGAACAGCAATCTGTGCTGGTGTCATTTCCAGATGGTCTGTGTTCACTTCAGGAACTTTAAGTTCAGTATTTGACACAGCAGAGACAGTAAAGGAGAACATATAAGATGAGCTATGGTCAATAGACCAGAAGGAGAGCCATTTGGCCAACCATTGCAAGATTTTTTTCTTTTTTTTGAGTGTTAATTCATGCATGTGTGTGACAGTGTGACTTGCCTCTTCTCAGGACTCAAGGCTGTTGACATCTCCCTATGAGTTTTTATGCATACACCCGGTGAACAGTTGTTTAAACATTCCTCCTTTTGTCTCTGATTGTGTGTGTGTGTGTGTGTGTGTGTGGGGGGGGGGGGCTAGTCCGGTTGCCTAGTAACACAGTTGAGGGTGCATGAATTGTCTTTGGAAGTGTGTGTGTTTGTTGCGCTCTTCGGTAGAGTAAATGAGATTATCATAATCATCTCTCAGTTACATTGGGTCTCCCTCAGAGCTGCTCATCAGTATAGCAGTGTGACTGCGCAGCCCTCTCAGAAATCCATCTCTTTCACTGGAGAAAATTTTCTATTAAATGAAAAAGGTATCACTGGGTGCATTATTTTGCTTTATACCAAATAAATATAAAGAAAAGCTTGTCATATTATTAAATCAAGGCACTATTATCTGTAGAGTGTAAAAATGATTTGCTAAATCATTGTGCACTCAAGGCCATATTGGTTATTTAAAAAAAAAAAACATACAAAATGTGATTACAGGTTGGAAGGTGATCTGACAAACTCCACCACATAACACCTGCAGCTCTTCTGTACCTTTGCAGTGTTCTAACTAGATGGGAGGTGTGCATTTAAGTGTCAGCTTGCAGCATCGCCCACATCATCGCAGCTGTCTGTGCTGCCAAAGGCTCAAAAAATACAGGCTATGTAAGCAGCGTAAGGCATGCTGGGTGAAAATCATGTCCGTCTCCTCCTCCTCTGCAAGCAAAGGTCATGGAGGAGGCTAGTGATCATGGGAACAGGGTCCATGTTGCAGGTTTTATCCCACCTATTATAGAACATCAGCTCAATCCACAGCATTCATTTTTTTTATGTGGAAACAAGATGTACAGAAACGTGCTGAACCTGGCAGGAACTTGACATTATTAAGGATTTCATTTCAGCTCAGTCACTATTTATGCAACAGCAATGTCCCCTCCTGCTTGTAACTGTATGTACAGGTGTTGTTGGAATAAAGCAATCTCTTGCCTTTCCTCCCTTGCTTTCACTTGTGCTCAGCACTTTTCTAAAAGGCTTAGTCATTTCTGGAACACAGCTGTCTTCTAAATACAGTGACGCTTTGTTCTTTTTTTTTTTTTTTTTTTTTGGATTCTTGTAAGCAAACTGAGGCTCATAGGGAATGCATTTGTCAGACCATTTTCAGTACTTGTTATCACACCACATTAATGTTTTAACTTCTGTAAAGGAGGATGGCGACCAGTGATTATAAAGCTGATGATCCGTGTTGTTTGAGAAGCTCAAATCACAAGCTAAGAGAACCATAGCTTGTTTACAGCAGACTGTCTTATTAGGTTATCGGGTGTTTTCTTTGTATTCATAAACCTCCAGTTGTGATCGGGGCTCTACCTCTTGACCATAACCGTTTTCAGAAGGAGCCTTGGGTTGGGAAAGTCGCACTGGTGTTGTATAGTTCTGTATTTTTCGGCATGATCACGGGTTTCATTTGGCTCAGCTGTGCACCACGTCTATCTGTGATTCTGGCAGACACAGGACTTGTTGGTTTGAGACCGGGAAGGGGCCTCAGACTATGAGAAAGCTGTTGTCCTTGCTAGCATGAATAATACATGTACCTACTCACTTGGCAGCTCCAGACAGCAAGAAGGGATCTCGGCACAGTGGTCACATGTTCCCTGCTCAGTGACTGTACCGAAGGTTATGTGTTGTAAATGTCAGAGTGATTTTTCATCTGTACTCCAGCTTATCCCACTGACCCGACTGTGTAGCAACAAAAGGAACTTGAACGGTGACAAGGAGCCCTTTTTGAACAATTCATGTGAACAGTTTGGAGACTTCTACTTACAGAATAAGTATATGAATTATCCCCTCTCTTCTCATTACACAATCCTAAAAATGCCATCCTGTTATTTACTGACAAGTGCATTTTAATAATCAAGTCATTGGTAAACAAAAGGGACGCTGCTCTCCCATTGGTTTTGCAACCATTTGCAGAATGTGCATGTGAACCCTAAATCACACACACACCTATACCCACACTTAAACAAAAAGACCCATGTAGCTGTGCCACATGCCGTCCTGATTGAATAAATGTGTCTTTGATTGACGGCTCTAAACCCAGTATGGTGTCGCACCGATACCCGTCACACTGGGGAAACCGTTATGTTCCAAGCTGGTGTCATCTGCTGTGAACAGGAAATGGGAGGCTGTTGATAAGGAAGTGTTTTGTGTCACAGGACAGCCGCGTGTTCGTCTCTGATAACTAGTGGACACAGATACCTGTGACACATCAGATAGTGTGCAGATTCATTGGATCAGGAGCTGTCACGAACATAAAAACAAGACAGTAAACCAGGGACCCCTCACTGGAAATGAATCAAGTTTATATGTGGGGGAAAAATGGTGGAAATGAGATGCAGTATAAAATAGTTGGTTGTGTTTGGAGGGGCTTTTGGTCTTATTGATGCACAGGTTTATTCCTTTACAGGCCACAGTGGCTTTTGCTTTTGCATCACAAATATGATTCAGTGTGTGTCTTCATAGTACACAGACACGGTTTACCAGTGGCTGAGGTTCATGCTTATTCTGATGTGCTCTTACTGTATAATTTGATTCTACTAGGGTAGCAATTACCAACTGTTGTCATTACTGATTATTTCTCTATAAATCAGTTAATCATCTGGTTTAACAAAAACATTGACTGCTGTTTCTGATAGCATAAACCTCTTCAGATGTCTTGTTGTGTTTTGACCAACGGTTTATACCATCCAGCGTAATTATATCTTTACTGCTAGATGTCTTCAGATGGTTGTGTAACACCATTAAGCAAATGAAGCTGGTTATCAAGTGACGTCCTGTCTGCTTTACTACTGGGTATCACAAGAACAACAACACACAAGATATCTGGTAGAGGAACATGACATCACAACAGTTTTATGTGTCAGACGATAAATGTACAGTTGGTCTAGATGCATTTTAGTGAATATTCATGATAATATAGATGTTGCATGTTGTACTGCTCTTCAGCTGTGAGTGGAGAGCAGTATAACTTCACTTGTAACCAGTCTGCTACTGTGGTTGTGTGCTTTCCAGCATTTTCTCTTCCTCCTCTACTCCTCCACCACACTCCATTAGTCGTCGAGCTGATGTAGCACAGCATATCCGAATGGTGAAACCAAACCCACCCCACCCCCTTGCATCATATAATAATCATCCTGTTGCTTCAACTTGTAGTCATTAACATGTTTGTCATGCTGTAATGTTGCGTTTGCCATCTGTGTGGACATGCGGAAGATATTGGGGCTTGCAAAAATTCTAGCATGTCGTGTGTGTGTGTGTGTGTGTGTTTAGTGACAGGAGGTTTTGTTCTTCACTGTATAATAAATGGGATATGATGTGAACCTGTACCATTGCAGTTTACACCATAACTCAACCTTTCATTTGTGGTGGAGGTCAGGAAACCTGACCAGAACTGGAATGAACTGAACTCTTGGCCTCATAAATTTGTCACACTTCTGTGTTTACCTTCTTTGCTCTGTTAGCTACAGTTCTTGGTAAGATTAATAGTTAGCTTGTGTTACTTGGGACCCCAGGTTAAAGGAGGCAAGGTAATAGTTTGTGGTTGGCCAGTGGGATCACATGACTATGTGTGAATGAGCTTATATTGTAATCAACAACTGGCTTTGATGCTGCTTCTGGATTACTCCTTGCCATTGTATAGTGTACCACCCGAGGAGCTGATGCTGTTTGAGATGGCAGGGGAACAAAAGATGCAGGGCCCTTCTGGTAAAAATACACCTGTAGACAACAAAGGCCGTAAGTCTGCAAAAGTTAGATCTGTGTATTTGTCTCCGTTTCTCCTCATTCCTCTTCTCCTCCCTGTCTTTTCTCCTCATTTCTATCTACCTTTCCTTTGTTTAGGTTCGCAGCAGTATTGTCAGAGAAGTACCAGACTTGTCTGTGTGTTGTTGCAAACTAGCAACTGGAGCTTTTTCGGTTGTTGCACCTTTTTTCAGGTCTCTCTGTAGAAAAGCAGAACAAAATGTACAGTGGTTACTGGGGAGGTTAGCTCAGGACTGTGCAGGCCTGAAGTGGTGTCCTTGACCTAGTTGCGGCTACAAAGTGGTAAGCTAGTGGTGGCTACAAAAATGTATGAGTTCAGTTCATAAAGATGCCAGTGTGCATAAAAACGTCCTGTCTCTGTGTCTGTGGGTCTTTATCTAAGATCTTGGATGCTACAGGTGAACAATGAAGTGCTAACCTATCACTTCTGACTGATTTAAGTGATCTTTGTTTTTTTATGTCCCAGTGTTGATCCATATAAGGCTACCCTGAATTTGGAGAGCTGTCCTTGCACCATGCATCTGACCCCTGCACTTTTTATTTTTTTTTCCTCCATCAGTGTTGTAATTTTGATGACCCTGGCATTGGATAAGAATGTCAGCTGAATGTCTACAATGTCTCAACCAGATCTTCTCCCTTCTCTTTCTTTTTCTCTTTGTCCAGTCGATGCTGATGAGATTAAGAGGCTAGGGAAGAGGTTTAAGAAACTTGACCTAGATAACTCGGGCTCACTCAGCGTGGAGGAGTTCATGTCGCTGCCTGAGCTGCAACAGAATCCGCTGGTGCAGAGGGTTATCGACATATTTGACACGGACGGGAACGGAGAGGTGGACTTTAAAGGTATGCAATGAATTCAGCTGATGTGGGGAACTAAACCGCACTGGATTTGACAAATGTATTCTACTCTGTTTTACTGTAGTTGGTGAAGTTTTTAAAATGAACCCCAGCACTGCTGTTATGGTATTGGTTCAAGTTATTGTAGATTTGACCACAACATTATCAAATGTCAGAAGGTCTTTCTCAAATTGGCCAGATTTTCACAGTTTGTGGTTTATGTAGATGCTGTGACTTCATCCAGTTCACACAGAATAAGTTCACTTGACCTGTTTATCTGACTAAAATAAGGCATATGTAATTTTTCACCCATCATTTTTAAAATCAGTCAGCCAACTAATGCGGAATGACTCTGCTGTATGGTGTTGGTATTTGTATCTCCTTCCAAACATGGTACATCCCTGAAAAAGAACAGCTGCTTCAGATACAGAGCCCACCATAGATGTAAGCTTAAAATTGACCTTGTGTGCAGTGGATCTGTGCAACAGGAACTCAGCAGGTCAGTTAATTATTGTATGAACAACGGAAAAGAAAGGTGTCACACAAATCCATTGTCTTGCATTGAAATATTTCTCTACTTGCCTGAAAATAAAGTGTGGGAAATATGGCTCTGACTATCGTGTATATACACCACCATTCAAAGGTTTGGGGTCACCTCCATTTTTCCAGTTACTAGTATAATCCAGCAGCTGAACAGACATGTCATTGTTTCTACAGCTGAATCAAACATAGCTGGGACAGACGGCTCTGTTGCAGACTTTCCCACAGATGTGTTGCGCTTATAGTTTGAATTGCTCTCACTCTTCACCTGGAAAATCTGGACACTGTGCTGCTGTTCCATCATCTGAAGCCGACTGTCCTGTCCTGTCCTCCTCCTGCACAGTCTGGAGGTGTTTTTTGCTCTTTACCCTGCTAAAGGATGCAGCCCTGTAAAGCTCTGACTTCCTCTGTTTATGGCTGTTTTCCAAATGATGCTTCAGAGGGTGCCGTTACACAGTCTTTTCCAACACTGCCTTTGTACAGTCAGCACAAGTTGGGACACCCATAGGAATCATTTGCATCAGTGTTACAGGCTTCATTTAGCTCCACTGCTGCAGAAAAGATGAAGGTTAACCTACTGATCCCTGAAATGTACATACATTTTTAGTTAGTTTGTTTTACCTGTGGTAGTTTACTTCTTAGCTTTGTACCATTAAAAGTTATTCACTGGACCCGAACTGCTTAAATGTCAAAATATGGAAAAACTGAGGTCACCCCAAACCTTTTTAGTGAATGTTACAAAAGCCGTGTCCAGTTTCCTCTGAAGCCACTATCACAAGGAGAAACCTATCTAAATTGTGGAAGGAAGGTTGTGCAATACACCAATCATGTTGGAAGCTCTAAAGCTGACAAGCAGGAATTACTGTCTACTAGAAGCCTGGTTTTCAGCAAGAGGAACTCTCCCAAAGAACGGCAGCATCTAAGAGGAAATATGCCACAAAACCGGTTTTGTCAATATGGGTATTCATATTGCACCAGTCAGTAAATCAGCAATGAAATCATTCTGATGTATGTGCTAAACAGGACAAAACTAGGGTCGATCGCTTCAAGAATGTAGTCCTGCATTAACACCAATACAGACGGTCATAATTACATTAGTTGTGTTGAGTTGTTCTTCTTTGATTTCTTCATTGTAAACAGCTGAAAGCTTGTAAATTTTGCCAGTACACCTAATTTGCAGTGGGGGTTGAATAATTTTAAATGCAAGTGTGATTTTGAAGCTCATTTTCTGTAATAGAGTTGATTTTAATAGGAGTGTCTGTGTCAACACACAAATACACAGTAACTGAGCAGTAAAGACAACCCACTTTGTGCACTGAATACATGATGGGGGATTACCCCCACCTCCTTTAAGATGTGTGTTACAAAACAGACCTACTGTTCTGAGTTTTTAGAAATATTTGAAGTTCAATACATGATTAAAAATAATAATATCACAGTATCTAGGGGCTTTCCTTGCCTAGGGTCACCCAGCATTTCCCGTGTGTCTCAGTTCTTCTTTACAGTTGATGTGCTTTCCCACATGGAAATCAGAGAATATGTATAGTTTTGTCACACATAAGTTTTCGACTCACTGTCAGGTAATGTATTGTGCTACTTACTGATGTGAAGTGTATTCCCCCACCTCTGTCTTTGCTATTGACTTGCCATTATCAATAAACATCACAAAGAAGACATGCCGTACCATTAAGATGTTGATATCTTTCACACTTAAGTTTCAACTGTGTTAAAAGTCTCATGAGCACTGATTGTTGTTCTCTTCTGCTCTGCCAGAGTTCATCGAGGGAGTCTCACAGTTCAGTGTCAAGGGGGACAAGGAACAGAAGCTTCGGTGTAAGTAAAGCTGCTGCTGATCATTAAAACCACATGTGGCCAGAGGTCACCCTGCTGGTTCAAGACTTCCTATCAAACTCATGCTTGTCTTGCTGCATTGGGAGTTAAATCTGCTGGGACATTGTCTCCTGAGTCTCCTCTGTTCTGTATGTCTCACCTCGCTCTGCTGCAGCAACAAAAAAACTCCCCCCTGAGGAAAGATGCAAATGTTGACAAGTCTTTGTCTCACATGCTAAGACCTAGCAAAATAAAAAAAGATTTGCTGATTATTCTTCTAGCCATATTATTTATGTGGAAATGTCACCCCACCAGTTTCTGGGGATGTCCTGTCTCTAAAATCATGCTTGAATCTTGTCGACCACTCGAAATTGAGCAGCCCATATTGAAACCAGACAGGAGTGTGTTTGATATTGTTTTGGTTTGCTCAGTAGTATACAGTGGTCAGCAGGGACAAAGCTACAGAACAGCTAAAGGTGAAAGACTTGATGCAGAGGTGAATCAAAGACAAGCTGATGCGCCGTAGGTGTTGCTGTGTAACTCATCTACTCTGTTCCTCCCCTCTCTCACACCACAGTTGCATTCAGGATCTATGACATGGACAAGGATGGCTACATCTCCAATGGTGAACTCTTCCAGGTGCTGAAGATGATGGTAGGCAACAACCTGAAGGACACACAGCTCCAGCAGATCGTGGACAAGACCATTATTAATGCAGACAAGGACGGAGATGGCAGGATATCCTTTGAAGAGTTCTGTGCAGTAAGTCGAAGCTCTCTTGGGGTATTTTGGGGTCAGTGACATTTCTGCTGATGCAGCCTGCTGTGGTGAAGGCAAATGTCAAAGGGGCAGAAAGCCCTAGGAAAACAGCTCTGCAGAACCAGCTTTCACTTTCGTGCCTTCTTTGAAATGTGGTGTAAATACAGGCTGGTGAGTTGTTGCTACAGTGCACAAGATGCAGCACAAAAAGCACTGAGTTGGCACTTTGGCTCTATTATACTACAGGAGTACTGACCCAAGAAACAAATTATCACTGCATTTGTTCCACACTACAGCCAGCAGCTGAAACCTATCTGACAACTGTGAAATCATTTTATATTTATAGTGAGAAAGAAATGGTCAGGAGCGCGTATTGCCTTGGCATTATTCTCACAATGATCATGTGAGAGGGGAGAGAAGCGAGATATGAACGCACAGAGGTAGAGGTTTGTGTCTTGAAAATGAGCATATTAAAACCAGCAGAGCATATCTGAGTGTGGAGGGGTGAAGGATAATGAATTTCTCTCAAAATATCAGTTTTCAGCCTGCAGTGGCAAACAAGGAGCAGCTCACTGTATTACTGCAGTGAGAGCATCCTTGCAACACTGGGGAGGAAAAACTGGCACAACTAGGAAGGTATTTCTGCTGGAAAGTCCCCCATTATTGAAGTGGACTCACTACCCAGCCAGGCCTTAATTAAGTAAATCAAACATTATTTAGAAATCGCTACAACCACCAAACCAAACTGCTGGACTCCAAGACAAATGATCCACACTCATTAACTTCAACAGAAAATGCTCAGTCACTGTTGAGAGCTGAGTTCAGAGACTTTTAAAAGGGAAGAGTCTGCAGGATGTCACTGATATACGACTGAGAGAAGGAGGAGAGATCCATATGTAGTTTATTAGCTTGATTGTCATGGTAGTTTGATGTAGTTTAGATTAAGGCATGGTTATATTAGTTTATCCTGGAGATGTTTCCAAATCAAATCAAATCAAATCAAATCAAATTTTATTTGTATAGCGCCAAATCACAACAAAAGTCATCTCAGGACACTTTACAAAGTAAGGTCTAGACCTTACTGTTATCAATATTATTACATAGGGAAAACCCAACAAATCCCCCTTGAGCAAGCACTTGGCGACAGGGGGAGGAAAAACTCCCTTTAACGGAAGAAACCTTCGACAGACCCCGGCTC